GGGGAGGCGCCTCAAGGCAGGGGGGGAGCTGCCGCATGGCTCCCCAGGTGGGGAAGGGGGAGCTGCCGCGGGGGGTGCCTCAGGGCAGAGGGGGGGTGGGGAGCTACCATGGGGGAGGCGCCTCAAGGCAGGGGGGGAGCTGCCGCAGGGCTTGGGGAGGGGAAGGAGCAGAGATGAACTGGGGTGGGGAACTGCCGCACAGCTCCCCAGGCCGGGGGGGGGGCGCCTCAGGGCGGAGAGGGGGTGGGGAGCTGCTGCAGGACTTGGGGAGGGGGAAGGGCGCAAGGTGGAAGTTTCACCTAGGGCGCGAAACATCCTTGCACCAGCCCTACTGAGAGGGCTGTATACCTACAGTGCAAACTGCACCACATAATGTGTTACAGTTAAGGGCTCTACTCATTCTTTGAGCTTCAGAGAAAAAGGAGAGGCAGCTGGGAACTTCATGAAGTTCTTAACTTCCACAGTAGTCTAACAGAAAAAAAAGTCCATGAAATTGACAAAGAAACAATTTCCTTAAATGTAAGTCAGTATTTCTATGTGTTACGTTCACAGCATACAAATAGTGAAATCAGATAAAAAGACATAAAATACCCTTGCTGGAAGGTTGCAAGTTTGCACTATGTCTTAGAATTCAGGATGATAATACACAAGAACCCAAAAACACAGAGAGAGAAAGCAGGCTGCTCCCTGAAACACAGAGGCCCAACAAACCACACCTTGCTTGAGGCTGGCTTTCTGCAGACTGCCTGCTGCTAGACCCAGATCACACACTTCCCTACAGAGCCTACTGCCTGCAAGCAGGGCCAGGAAAAAAACTCTGAAACTCAAAGTGATAGCTTACAATTTTAACCGATTTTCAATATCCCCCACCATTGAGCATTAAAGACCAGCTATGCCTCTAACAATATGGAAATGAACAGTTATGGGAAGGGAGATAAAAATTCAGATAGGCTCACAGTTTCTGAAATTAGTATGTGAGTGCAAACTATCACTGTGCATAACAAAAATAAATACAGTGAATTTACCTGCAGTGAAATGGAGGGCCAGCGCTAGCACCATCATCTGAATGGCTGCTGTCCAGGGAACTGAGAAACCCATTGCTATGAAACAGAAAAGCACATTCTGAAGACCCAGATATGAATACAACAGAAAGAAGCTGGAAGTTCAATAACCAGGAACACAAACTCCGCGGTGCCTGGAAATGGGAAGCACAAGAGGGCTCTGAGTTCAGAGACCTCAAATGTAAAATAGTTCAGTGTACATAAAAAGGAAGATTGTCACAGGGTGACACTGACTCTATTTTTAGCATGGCAGCGCAAGCCCCATTCTGACGACCTGGGCTTGGAGACTCGCTGCCAGGGCTGTGTAGATATATGGGAAAGAGGCCAATGCCCCTGTGACTAGTTAGCTGTCCCTATCTGGAGTTAAGGGAGAGCACCTGGACTTTATGTAGGGAAACGTCCTGGTCAGCTGGGGAAGTGAACCTGCAGAGGGTGGATGGCTGTGTGGGCCCTGTCTGAGCTAGAGACAGGGAGCTGCTTGGTGCAGGGAAGTTCAGGCAGGGAGAAGTGGGGAGCTGCTGCCTAGAAATGCAGGCCCCCTGAGCTCAAGGGGAGAGACCAGAGGCCAGGGCTGAGAAACAGAGACCTCAGGAAGGACAGGCTGTGCCCAGTAGGAGACTGAGGCAGAAGAGACTTTACTTTGGGTTTATTTTGTATTAAATATACCAGTCCGCAAGAAAGGGGGGTTGTTCTTGAATATAAATCTCTGTGGATGATTTCTGAGGCCCTGAGAGAAGGGGGAACTGAGGCTGGGTGGCTGTGGGGCATCTTCCTGCCATGAGGGGGTGTTCCAAGATGGCAGCCCTATGACAAGGATCAATAAAAATATTTAAATGCCTGTCACAACGATAGTGCAATTGTGCCTAAGGCATAGTTTCATTCAGTATAACCCCCATGGCTACCCACGAGCTGTGTCCTCCGCTGGCCCAGCTCCGCTGTTATGATCAGTGAGCCTAGGGCCGGCTCCAGCATTTCTGCCGCCCCAAGCAAAAAAAAGCTGGTGCCTGGAGCCGGCCCTGAGTGAGCCTGTGCAGCTGGGAGCAGAACTTCACCTATTAGCTTAAAATCACTCGATAAATTCATAACAAATTATTTAGATTGCAAGCTCATTGAGTGTTCACTGGAGGCTTCTGACCTGATCTTTAAGGGCCTTTGTTTCTGATTAATGTAAAGCCTATGTGCTAAGCAGTAGTGTAAGTAGATGACACCAAAGATTCAGTATTTCAGACTTTGCTATAGGTTTTAAGATTAAGAATTAGCGTGAGGCCTACCTGAGGCCTGGTTGTTAGCAAGGGCTAGCCTATGTGCTTGACCAGAGGTGATGGAATTTAATATGTGCTTGGCACATGTTAAATAAACTACCAAGGATCAAGTACACCGCAAGATTGCACAAAATAGTAGATTTTTAGGTCCTTTTGCAACAAGGTAATTATGAATTTAACCACATTGACATATCAAAACTACCGGGGCATTAATTGACACAAGTGAGATATTAACTCGTGGAAGCTTCACTATGGTTAGCTGGAATACCACAGATGGTTAGTAAGAATACCACATATGTGCAAGAGTCAAACGTCTATCAGATATGACCTCAAACATGTGTGGATGAATAAAACGAGGTTATCCAGCCAGTTGTTGGGACACCAGGGATGACTGAATGGCGAAAGCCTGAGTATAAACAAGCCCTCTTAGATGAAAAAGAAAGTGGAAATCACCAATCTTTGTGGTTTAACAGTCTCTATGATGTTTTAAGTGTGTCAGCATTGGGAATTGTTTTATCCTGTACCAGCCATAAGGCTATACCTATGCACAACCCAGGGGGTTATTTTTTTATACTTATCTTGCTAGATTTCATTTTCTATTGTTTCAGTTATACTTGCTTGTATTAAATCAAACTTATAAAGTATCTATGTGTGTCCCACCAATTTCATCTTTTTAATTAATTTTAAGTAACCACCTAGATAAAGAACCTGTTATTAGTAACAAGTGCATTTAGAAACCCAAATTAACGAAGGCTTCAGACTGCTTTTTATTTTATGTTTGTACAGCACCTGGCACAGTGGGGTCCCAATCCTGAATGAAGACACTGGGTGAAACTGAATGCAAATGGTAAATAATAACAACAACAATAAAATCTCCTGATGCACAATGGAAAAACTAGGAATTAATGAAGGAAATAGGGAGAATGATTTTAGTTCCTTTAAAGATAACATGCATTTACCTCTTGGTGGATTAAAGAATAATTCTATTTGCAAATGGCTAAATCCTGACTCAATTTCCCAGTAATGCTGATGGGAGTTTTGTCTCTGTAAGGTCTGAATAAAAAGCCCTCATTTGGCCGTAGACATGTTATAGGTACAAACTTTTGCATGTGACTTTCACAGAAACACTCTTACTGTCTGATTCTCTTCTCACTTATAGAAGTCTCATACCTTTGTCACTCCCGTCATTACACTGGAGCTACTGATGGTTTACTTTGGTGTAAATGAAATCAAAATCAGGCTGTTAGACCATAAATAAAAGGACCAGGATGCCACTAATGCTGAATTTCCAGAGTGGCTCAGCACATTTAACTGGTACTAGGTTTCCAAAAGTGCTCAGCTCACAGTTAGGCACCTAGATAAGGGCCAGATGTTCAAAAGGGTTCAGCTCAACTCCCACTGTGACATGCATGGCCAGATTTTCAAAAGAGCATCACATTAAAGATGATTAAAAATGGAATTTTTGTATCATGGGAAAATCTGAGATTTGGATATTTGTTTTTCACCCTAAATTGGAACAAAAAGTGAAAATATCTAAACTTTTAAAAGAATGAAAAGTTCTGAAATTTTTTGATTTGATGACATTGAAATGTTTCATGTTTTGTCAGTTTGAGCGTCTAGTGTTGTAGTTCAGATGCCTCATGCCCCATTCTCCTCTATGGACCACATCTCCCATGATCCATCAGGGTCTTGGGACTCCCATGGTACATATCAGCAGCTCAGGGGATCCATTAGTGTCAACCCATCCCAAAACAAAATGGTTCATTTCAATTTTTCTCAATGGAAAATTAAAAAGAAATAGGCAACATTGACATTTTTGTATAGATAATTTACATTTCACAGAAAACATTTTCTATTGAAAAAAACATTTCAATGGAAAATTTCCAACCAGCTTTCTTTAGCAAGTAGAGTGCTGAGACCCTTTAAAATCTGGTCGCTTATTTTGTTGCTTAAATTAAAGCTGGTTTCATTTGAAAATATTGCCCTGCTTGAAAAGCTGGCTCTCAGCTCTTGTAGGAATGGAGGCCATGGATGTATACATTGCATGCTAGAGAGATCTATCACAACGTTCACAGCACTTTCCATCTGGGTAGATTTAAAAACACAATGGCACACCACAACAAATCACAGATGTTTATCACTAAATTCAATTTTACCTGGAAATGACTGGGATTTTCTTAATCTTAGATCAGGAATGGAAATTGAGAAGGGCCGATTCCATGGGCTAGTCTTAGAGTTGGGCAGAAAGTGGAATTTCTGTCCTGCAGGAAATTTTGCCGAGGAGCCAGAGAACTTGGGGTCCAAGGTGCCAGCTCCTTGGCACCCTGTGTGCCTAGAAGACAGGCAGGCTGCTGATGGACCAGGAAGGCTGGCTGGGAAATAGACAGGTTTCAATCTCATCATAATCAACATGTTCCCGTGGAACATTTTGATTTCAATGAAATGGCATTTTCTGGCAGAATAATGTTCCATCCTGAAAATATCCAACCAGCTCTAGTTAGTATTGAGGTAGTTGTAGGGATAAGAAATCCCAGCACAAAACCACTGTCTAGGAGCCTTGTCTTCTCAAATGCCTTAGGATGGTGGTTCACAGACTGGGAAGAGCACAGCATTTCCAGCTGCTCCATGGAGCAGCTTCTGTCCGCACAGTGACAGATCTGCCACTCTCCAGTGTTGCTGCAATGCTAGTTCTAGCCCTGTCCAGAGCTTTCTTAAGGTTTCCAGAGGCTGCTATTGACCTGTAAATGAGGAAAAGCAATGGCTTTTCTGCATGCAGCACAGTTGCCTTATGTCTTTATCAGGTGCAGTATTGCCAGCTCCGAGAGTTCAAAAATCAAGGGACTGGCTTAAAAATTATGAAATTTAAAAAATAATAATAATACATCTGGGGTTCTTTTTATTCACCTTATGTTTTTGGAGCTTTTAAATCACACACAGTTAACATTTTCAAGTTTTTCACTGCGACTGTGAGGGCTAGAAGCTTACTTTTTTTAAGAAAGCTGAGATCCTCACATAATCACAGGACTCCAGGAGCTGGAGATTTAAGAAAAACACCAAAATTACAAGACTTGGGATAAAAATCACAAGAACTGGCAACACTGCCAGAGGTCTCTGGTGAAAATTCTATTGAGATCAAATTCACTGATTACAGCTGCATTGGAGGGACAGCAGCAAACACACAAGAAGAGCAGAACAGACAATTCTGTTCTGTAGGATTCAAGCATCAGGGAATGCAAGCACTTGGAAGGAGAGCTGTTAGAAATTAAAGTAAGGAAACAATGTGTTTAGAGTAGCTGGATTTTTCAGTGGGGACTGGGGGAGTGAGGCACTCAAATCCCACTGAAATTCAATTAGAGTAGGGTGCTCAAATCACTTGGGCTGCTTTGCAAATCCCAGGCTTTGTGTCCTAAAGATACTCCTTCCTGTAGCTAAGCCAGACGGAAGTCATGGGATCAGGATTCAAAAATGGCATAAAGTGTCTCTTAAAGGGTCTCTTGGTTAAGAACCAGCCCACAGTACAAACACATCTGAGAAAAGCTGACTTAAGAAGCACATGTGTTCCTCCCCTGTTGGGAAAATGAAAGTATTACACCAGGGACAGCTTGGTGGTTTGAGCATTGGCCTGCTAAACCCAGGGTTATGAGTTCAATCCTTGAGGGGGCCATTTAGGGATCTGGGGCAAAAATCTGTCTGGGGATTGGTCCTGCTTTGAGCAGGGGGTTGGGCTAGATGACCTCCTCAGGTCCCTTCCCACCCTGATGATCTATGACCAGGGATTCTCAAACTTCATCACGCTGTGATCCCCTTCTGACAACAAAAATTACTACAAAACCCCAGGAGGGGGGACTGAAGCCTCAGCCCACCCAAGCCCCACAGTCCAGGATGGGGAGGCCCAAGCCCCACTGCCCGGTGGGGTGGGAAGGGGCTAAAACAGAAGATAGGGTTACCATACGTCTGGTTTTTCCCGGACATGTCCGGCTTTTCAGCAATCAAACCCCCGTCTGGGGGGAATTGCCGAAAAGCCGAACATGTCCGGGAAAATGCTGGCACTTCCTCTCCCGCTGCGGCTCTGCTCCACTCCTCCTCTCTCAGATTTACAGAGCCAAGCTGCCCGAGCCAGCACTACCGGCTTCGGGCAGCCCCCCCCTGCCTCCGGACCCCGAGCCTCCAGCCAGGCACTTCTCCTACCCAGCTCCAGCTGCTCTGCTCC